CTGTTTTTTTGCGCTGCACGCGTTGCTCGCGTAGGCGATGCGCGTCTCCTACTTTTTTCCAGTGTCGTTGTCGGCAGCACAGTTAGTTGAAGCGACAAACAACAACAGACGGTCCGCCTTTTTTTGTTTTGCTGCATGCATGGGTGGTATGCATCGGCACGCGTGTTGCTTCCTTGCCTTGAGTCTGCTGCGTAGTCGTAATTTGAGCGATAAGTAAGGTAGATGGCAGCAGAATCTTAGATACTACGTAGTGAGGTATGATAACCAACAACTCGTTCGTGCAGCGGTGCGCATCTATGGCGGACGGCAAGCGTATTGCGATAATAGTTCGTCCGTGGTGCCATGTAGTCGTGCTCTTTTTAGTTCTCACTTCCTACAACAAGATAGTCCACAGCTCGCACACGGCGACTGACTATATTTATTTGTTTGTTGTTGTGCTTGTTTGCTGTTGCTGAGCCGACATCGGATATCGCCGTTCGATACACAACGTGACATCATGTCTGACAGCCTGCGGCGGGCCAGAGGGACGAGAGTGAGTGTCTTCTCGAGAGAGTCAATGCCTTGTCTTCTCTCCGCTCTCTTCTTTTTGTCTTCCTCTCTTTCTCTCTCTCTCGCCTTTCGCCGGTAGGGTCCCAACAACATCGAACGTCAACCAACCGCAGTCGTTTCGCTTTTTGCTGAGTAAGAGAGGCTACCCGTGCATCCGGCTGCTGCATGGGAAGCGATGGGCGTTATGCCAAGCAATGGACTTGGGCCCTACCTAATATTTGCTCCATATGTAGTGCTATGTGAGAGTTTCCAGCGGTCCGGAGCGAGCGGCGACGGTGCTTTTCTTCTATGCGCTCTTTTGCCTCCTCCTCCCTGAAGCCTGTCGCGTGTGGCTCGTTTGTTCTCGCTTCTTTCTATCTTTTGTTTTTCATGCTTTGTTTTTTGCGGTCCCCCGGTTCCTGTGTGCTCATCGGGCGTCTTCTTGGTGTCTACCTTGATTGTTACCCGCTGCAAAAATCGAAAGCTTCAGACAGGCAACGCGACGATACTCGTCGAGATGCCATACACAATGAATTCATTGCTTATCTGTCTCAGACTCTATGATGGAGATGAATTCGTTGTGTCATAATAAGAAGAATAAAAAAAAAAAACATCCTGTCGTTACTCTATCGATACCTCACACCCACCCCTACTCACGCCGACGCAGACACAGACAGGCAGACTCAGCTCCTTCGCCTGTGCTGTATCTGTTGTTCGTGCGTGCTGAAAAATGGTACATACAGCAGCAGCTTACAGCAGCAGGAGCTGCTTTTTGCTTGTTTGTACAGCTTTTCCTGCAGGGATGGCTCTTGTTGTGCGGCAAGTTGCATTGTTTGTTGTTGATGAGGACGAGAGGACGAGAGTGGTAGGCAAAAGCAGTACGTACCGTGTTAAAGGGACAGACAGAGTGCCTACCGTGTGTACAAGGGACAGACATGTGTGTATGTAGACGTTGCATTTCGCGTTTCCCGAGGATCGGATGTATGTGTTTTTTTTTTTTTTGCGTACCCGCGTCCATCACGACCATTATTATTGCGTAGTTTGTCGGCTAATTGAGGTCCTTCCCGTTCGTTCGTGGTGTCAGCACACGCGCAACACGCGACTAAAATAAAAATAAAAAGCTTGGGACTAGCAACGCCGACGATATTCGTCGGCTTGCTTTTAACAATGGATTCATAGCGTCAGAAAGTACCTGTATGTCTACGATTTCCCAGACAGCATATATGGACATCTCCCCTGCGGGTAACAGGCTCAACAAGACAGTTTGGTAGCTGTCTTGTGTGTCTCATATATGTTATTATGTTGGGAAGGTGCAGATGATATGTGTTAGGTACTGGTCGGGCGTTTTGTGTGTGGCACCCTTTTAGCCGTAGGGAATGCAATCAAACGTATTTTCAATGTGGTACGCGTATGTACCGGGTATTTGGGTATGTGTATGTGTGGATACATTTCGGGGTATGTGCGGACACACGGGCGTGGTCTCACCATTTTCTTACCTTTTTGTGTAATTTCTAATATCAGACGTCATCTCAGAGGTGAATATACCATGGTATGCCCCTATGGAAGAAGACAGAAAGTGCGAAGCTTTGTTGCCATCTTCTTCAGTGTTTCCTTCCAACTTCCAACCCCCTCTTTTTTTTATTTTTCTTAAGATGACAAAACGAAACCATCTCTATCATAGAAAGAGTCTGAGACTCGTCGCCGCGCACACTCATTATATCCGCGTCTCCTACCCTACTCTCTCCTTCCTCTAGTGCGCACCTTCACTCCGACTCTCCAAAGAAAGGCAAGCGACGAGCCTTGGGTGTGACCACGGGGTTGTGGGCGAGTGCTACAATCAATGCACATACATGAGACCTGAGTCTATGCATATGTGCCCGCTTGCCTCTCAGACCACATGCACACAGCAGTACATATATGCGCAGGGTGTCGCCGGGCAGCTCGTCGCTTTGAACGGCCGGCCTGCGAGGCCACATTGTTGGGCGGCCTTTATCTCTAGAGACGCATCTGTTTGTTGGGAGAGCTGATGCGTGATAAATAGTCTTGAAGACTGACGCGAAACCTGCTGCTCTTTTCTATGCATCTCTCCGCTTCGTCACAAAACCACACTCTCACACAGCTCTGTCTGACAAAAAGCGTGCTACCTGCAGTCAGCGTAAGTATCCGGCCAACCCCAGTGCGTAACGCATCCAAGTAAATGTCGAAGTGAAAGCGTCCCACTTGTTACCTCACCCCAGGCAACCTTGGAAACCAATCGGAGATAGATGCCTTTGTGAGGTAACCACTGCTGCGACAGCAGCGGTGGCTATCGCTACCCACAAGCGGACCAAAACCCCCTCTGCTCGATCGGCCCCATAACCGACCCCGCGCGGTTGAGGCGTGTTGAGCGTGTGATCGTAAACGGTACGGTCCAGAACCCGTCGAGTGCCATACGCAAAAGAGTCCTACGGCTGGCTGTAGATGGTAGACGATTTTAAAATCTCTGTAGTTTTGATACATCGGTAAAGTTGTCCCGCTCTCGCGCTTCTCCCCTCTTTATATATAATACCCTCCCCAAAACCAAAAAATAAATAATTACCTACAATCCCAAACCCAAAAACAATCCCTAGGCAAAAAACAAACAACAAAAACAATTAATTAAACAAAACACACCCATATATATCTAAAAATATTGTACCAGCATATGGTACTCTAGTACATGCGCAAAAATGAAAAAACAGATTCAGGGATATTCTTATGAGTACTTTCTACCCCTTACCGCCCCTGCCTACACTGTAGTATCTCCCACATCCATACAAAGCGTGGGTTAATTGTGTCTGTCCGGGGGAGACTTGTACTGAAGTATGATATGGGGTCAGTATTGGTGTTGTTGTTTTGTGTTTGAGTTGTCTTCACATTAAAAACTCTTCCGATCTCTCTACCCGATACCTCCATCTGTCGGTACTGATCCAACATACGATGCGGCCAATTCCCGTGGTCACACGCAATTTACCTAAAAAAGGTATACGGAATAAACAAGGGCCTAGGGTTAGGGTTTTAAAATATCAGTCGAAAACAGAGAGTCTGGAGCCCACGCTGCTCCCCTCTACACGCTAGGTGGAATAATGTTGAATGGAATAAATGTTGTGCCATTGCCACAGGTGTCAAGCCGTTTGTTCTGTTGTTTCACCTCATTTTACGCCGCGTTCGATGTTGAACGGAATACGTCTTGCGCCATTGCCACAGTAGGTGCCAAGCCATTTGCGATGTTTTTTCACCTTTCGGTTTTGGGAGGCAGGCAACCTCAACAACAGCAGTAATCCACCCTGGCAGAATTCCCTGAGTCGTCTGTGGCAATTGACAACGGTCGGTGGTTTCTATTTGCGATCATCTCTACAATACTGTCTGCTACATGACATGCAGTGCTTCGTCCTCTTGTGTTTTGCTGGTGACGCCGCGGTGTCTTGGGAGCTCTGCTTTTTTGTGTGTGCGTGGTGTCGTGGTCAGGTTGAACAACGCAGCTTCGGTTTCCGCCATCACGTCGACAGGAACATTTTTATTCAAACTGACAAACTCAACCGAAATTTGAAATCTTCGTTATCGCATGGCGAATTTGCCTCAAATATGTGTCAAGAAATATGTTGTCAAGCTAATACCAAGTTTTTGACTATCGCATACTCCGTAATATCGCATCTCAAGTATGTATCTATCTGTATTTTTCTGCTCCCGCCTCCTCCGTCAACCCGAATGCCGCTGCTGTCACATGCAGGCCTAAGCAAGCAAGACTATGGCTGGAAGGACTACTACCGCCTATCTTCTACCGGCCGTCATGGCCCTTCTTTTCCTGCTCGTGGGGCTTGTGGCAGCTGACGACGTGCGGCTCGCAAACGAGGAGGGTGGAATGGGAACAACGATGAGGAGGGCCTTGACGACCTCGACCTCTGAGTGTGCCGCCGAACTTTCGGCTTGTTCTTCGGACACCTCGTGCACCACATGCGTCACCGAGTTTTTGTCCAAAGAAGAAGAGTGCTCTACAGAAGTCTCTCTCTGCGAAGACGTACAGGATGCCGTTTGTTGCACGCTCGCCGACGAGGAGGAAAACTGCGAGACCGACACGACCTTCGGAAACTTCCTAGGTGCGTAAATTCGTGTGCGTCTTGTATAATCTTCTTACAAATTGTATTTTTTCTCTGAAAATCCCGGAGCGTGAGTTCGGTGAGAGTCGCGTGTTATATATCCTCCCCTGAAAATCTGAAAATCTAAACATTCCCGCCGTCCCGAGCACTACAGACATTATCCATTTATTGTATTTTTCCGAAGTGTCATTTTTATTATTATTTTCCACGAAGTCTGAAAGGTAACTCTCTGGCAAATGACGAGGGGGCGACACCGGTCGCTTCCCTCTCATTCAGAATCCAAGTTCCCTTTCATGTCAACTGGCCGGGCCTAACAAAATGCCGTCTCAGTATACCGAGACCCCCAATGGTACTCTACCATTGACATCCACCAACATCGACGTTTAGTGGGACGGCATTCTGTCTCCCTTGCCCGTACCTTCGTGTATGCTAACCCTCCTTCTGCCCCTTCTTCCATCCCTTCGCTAGTTTACGGGATACTATGTCTACGTCCACCTTATTGTCCCGAGTATATATCTTGAACGTACCGGACCCTTCCTTCCATCTACCCTCTCTCTGTATAATTCTATCCGGTACGTCTCCTCCCGCTGCCAACGTGGTGGCGGCCCCGATCCTCAACGAATGCAAGCCAACCTGTCTCGAGTCGCCACCTACCTTCTCCACAATCTGGCGAAGGGCGCTGAGAGCTTTGGAATATCCCCAAACCTTAACCGTACTGCTCCTACTGCAGCGAACCGAGCACAGAGGGGCGTTCTCAGGCAAAGTAAGATGGCACGTCATCACTCCACCAACACCGCCACGGCACCGCCACCGGCACCAATCTGAGAACTCGCGCCTCGTGCGACATCGCGCACTCGTGTAACGTATGCCCCCATTTCCGACTGATCTCCCTTGTGGCCACGAAACCGAACCCGAACACCCGTAGCCTTGTGCCAGTGCAACGGGGGCAGCACGTGCTCCCCGTCGAAAAACTCGACGTCGCTCCGCCGCAAACAATGCACCTGGTGGCAGTGTCCCGACATCGTGGCAAAATCTCATCCGAACGCGCCACCAGAAAATACGACAACGCGAAGCATAGCCATAGGACCCGACCGCCCGTCCCCCACAACGCCGTCAGCTGCTGGCCCTCCAACAGCGTCTCCCACGAGACGGGAACACGAATCCGATGTTTCGTACCCGCTCGCACGTGGGCACGTGCAGCACCCAACAAACTCCGTTTGATGAGGGGCGCACTGGTCGGCAACTCGACCTGCCTATCGACGCGATGAAAATACTGTACAGCGGCGAGCTTGCCGGAAATGGTCGGTGCAACGTTACCCTTACCTGCACAACACCACGCCACAAATTCCAGGAGTGCTTGTCCCAGCACCGTATCGTCCGCCTCCCCCGAGAGGTACTCCGACTCGCCAATCAACCCGCGAAAATCTCACTAAGCTCGCCAACCCGACCTGTATGTTCTTCGAGACGACTGCGCAACTGACTCGCGGACGTACTCGCGGCTAAGACGCCGGTACAAAGATTGGCGACCTCCGGGTCCAAGACCTCAGCCTGCTGGCGAAACCGCCCCCGCACGTCCTGACTGAATTCGAAACGCCATTTTACTCCCGAACGGAATTCAGCATGCAAGAAATACCCCCCCATGGCATCACCAGATGCATCTGACCACAAAAGACACGAATATGGTTGATCGAAAACAAACAAACAAGTGGGGCTGTTAACACCCGCGACGGCGACCCCAAGCCCCCGTCTACCATCAGACGCCAAAACTGCATATCCGCATGAAACTCGGGACCTATCCGTGTCCGCTCCTGCCCCCGGGCTGTCAATTGCACCGGCGGGAGCCCCTACTGGTTGAGCATACGGCGAACAAAATATTTACCAGGCCGCACGACTTCACATATATGCAACAGCGAACCAATCACCCCCCGCAACTCGGACTCAGAAGCACAGTGGCGCTTGGGGGGCCACTCGCGGATCGTCGCCCGCAGACGTGCCAGCTTGTCTGTGGGAACCGAAATCGTCATAGCTACTGTATCGTCCCACCCTAGCACACACAATCGTGTTTGCCACGAAGAGAGTTTATGCGGAGACAACAGGGGGGGGTCCCCAGGCCCTCGCGCGCTAAACACACGGAAATGGTCCGATGCACACGACGCGGACGACACTTTACACCGTGCGCCAGTCGGAGTCCACCTGACTTCGACAAGGATACCATCGTCTACTTAGAACTTCACGAAAAACGAGTCGGAACGACCGCCTCCTGAACCGGGGGGAATGCGACACCCAGGGGGAAAGGGGGGTGGCGTCTCCCGTTCGCTAGGCAAGGGGACCTCAACATGGTCCGAGGCTCTACGTCCTAGCTCGGAAACGACTGCATCGGACGAGGAGCCCTGCGCCCCCGCGCCCCCATACATCGGCGCTGGCGCTGCAGTACCACCCGCCGCAGACCCGTCGCTCCGAGCGCGTACGGCCGCCGCACCTCCTCGAACCTCGCCGCCATGTCGGCTTTGAGGTCCTCAACCGACGCGCTAATAATGGCCCGTTCATTAGCGCTGTCCTGCGTTTCCGCCTCGTACTCCTCGCCGCCAATCACGGACTCATCCGAGGCGTCCCCGTCCCTACTCATACCTCCGACCCCCGACGACGGCCCCCCGATGACCGATCAATATCCTAATCACGGGCGAACAATTGGGTATGAAGACACAAGGACAAAAACATATATGGGGAACGTCAGAACGATGATGTAGTAAACGCGTCACGGTATGCACCTGCCTACCGGCGCGCACAGTAACATCTCCTCGCTCGTGTAATAGCCGGTGCAGTCGGACCATGTACCCCTCAAGCAGTGCACGACGACCCACCAGTCGCGTGTACCAGACCGGTCATTGCAAGATACATCATGTGTCATGACGGCCGCCTGCCGTCTCGTAGGCACGCTATTAGCAACATACATGTCATACATCTGGCGGCCGGCTCCTGACAACCACGACTCGTCCCCAGACGACACGCCATCATGGTGTGCAATGAACCACATGCTCCCCTTCTCAGATGTGAACCACAGTGCCTAGACATCACCGGGCGTAGGCCAATAAGTTGCACGATCATGTACACCAGTACATGTGTCGACTTTCCACGAGCGCGTTTGTGTTTTGGCTCCGTCCAGCTATGGTTTCTTGCATACCCATCCCTCGTATGTGAGACTATTCCTTCCCACCCATACCAGCGTCATCGACGGATTTATCGATTTATTTGATGCGCCACGGGCTAGTGGGATGCGAAGCTGTGTACACCGATAGACAGCAATTCTTGTTTTGAGGTGTCCATAAGAAGACGCCCGCACCCATGCGGCACATGTATGTAGTCTCATCATATGACGGCATACATGTTGGTTCCCCGTGTCTCTCTCCACTCCCGTAGTCTCGCATGTTGGTTTTCCTTGCTACAAGCATGAGAGGAAAAGACAACAAACCCTGTCTCCCTCCCAACCTGTACTGGGAACATCGACACAGGCGTCTGGGTTTACCACATCGATGCGCAACAAGTGAGGGAGACGCGAGGCCGTAAGCCGGTACCATATACACCAGCGTAACCAACTCTACATATATTGTTTCTTGCCACCAAATTATGTCGTTCCACCGATTATCCCGTGCACTACAACCCACATTCGGGCGTGCACAACCGGCCCATGCAACATTTGGTATGTGTCATGACCGCATACCGTCTCGCAGTCGCACCAGCGACCTACATGCCATACACCTGGCGTGCGGTTCCTGACCACCACGGATCATCTCCAATGACCCGCCATCCTGGTCTACCATCAATAGGCCGTGAGCCGGCAACCATGCGCTCCAGCGTAACCAGCTCCATATCGATTGACTTGTTTTGTTTATCTTGCCGCTCCACCGATTATTTCATGCACGACGACCCACAGTCGCGCGCGCACAACCGGCCCATGTAAGATTCAGTATGTGTCATGACGGCCGCACGCCGTTCCGCAGTCGCACCAGCGACCTACATGCCATACATCTTGCTTTCGGCTCCTGATAACCACGACGCATCACATGATGAGACGCTACCATCAATAGGCCGTGAGCCGGCAGCCATGCGCTCCAGCGTAACCAGCTCCATATCTATTGACTTTTTTTTTTTTTTTCTTGCCGTTCCACCGATTATTTCATGCACGACGACCCACAGTCGCGCGTGCACAACCGGCCCATGTAAGATTCAGTATGTGTCATGACGGCCGCATGCCGTTTCGTAGTCGCACCAGCGACATTCATGCCATACATCTTGCTTTCGGCTCCTGGTAACCACGACTCGTCACCCGATTAGTGGCTATCATGATTCGACCAATCAATCATCGCACCCTTCTCATCCGGTCCACATTGACTTCTGGAAAACCTCGTGGGGAAAAAAAAACCATCCATCAAATGTACACGACATGACAAGCAGCAACGACAATCGAAAGTAGATTTGTGTTTGTCTCTGGGTTTGGACGGCGGTTTTTCACCAATCCACCACCCTTGTCTCGCGCCGACAAACACCCTAGATAATGTGTCTCGTCTTGTGATCGGGATTTATCACAACCACACCATAGTTTCTCTGACAATATGGATCGGAAAGTACAACGCTTTTGCGATGCTGGTGATTTCCTTTCGCATCATTGTATGCAGCTCCATGTACACCAGTACATCACTCGTGGATGACTAACGAAGCATGCATATCTGTGGCACCCACCACTGTCACATGTACATAGTGCCACCCCTGATCCACACACCGGTGCGAACCATGCACCACCCAATGTCCACACACCGGTGCAAACCATGCACCACCCAATGTGACCATTGTGCTTAGACATCGCCGGGCATAGGCCCACGAAATGCGCGATTGTAGACTGTCGAATGGTTCACGTATGCATTCTGTTTTACGTTGTTTTGTGTGCTGTGTTTCTTTCCACCGAATTATGTTATTCTACCGATTATCCCGTGCACTACAACCCACATTTGGACGTGCACAACCGGCCCATGCAACATTTGGTATGTGTCATGACGACCGCTTATCGTCTCGCAGTCGCACCAGCGACCTACATGCCATACACCTGGCGCGCGGTTCCTGATCACCACGGATCATCTTCAATGACCCGCCATCCTGGTCTACCATCAATAGGCCGTGAGCCGGCAACCATACGCTCCAGCGTAACCAGCTCCATATCTATTGACTTGTTCCGTTGATCGTGCCGTTCCACCGATTATTCCCTGCACGGCGATCCACCGTCGCGCGTGCACAACCGGCCCATGTAAGATTCAGTATGTGTCATGACGGCCGCACGCCGTTACACAGGCGCACCAGCGCCTACATGCCATACATCTTGCTTTCGGCTCCTGATCACTACGACTCATCACATGATGAGACGCCACCATCAATAGGCCGTGAGCCGGCAACCATGCGCTCCAGCGTAACCAGCTCCATATCTATTGACTTGCTTTGTTTATCTCGCCGTTCCACCGATTTTCCATGCACGACGACCCACATTCGTGCGTGCACAACCGGCCCATGTAAGATTCAGTATGTGTCATGACGGCCGCATGCCGACCGCACTCGCACCAGTGACCTACATGCCATACATCTTGCTTTCGGCTTCTGATAACCACGACCCATCATCGATTAGTCGCTATGATGTTCGACAATCAATCATCGCACTCTTCTCATCCGGTCCACATTGACTTCTGGAAAACCTCGTGGGAAAAAACAAAAACATCCATCAAGTGTACACGACAGCAGCAACGACAGCCGAAAGTAGATTTGTTTTTGTGTATGTTTGTCGCTGGGTTTGGACGGCAGTTTTGTGTGTCACCAATCCACCACCCTTGTCGCACTCCGACAAACACCCTAGACGATGTGTCTCGTCTCGTGATCGGTATTTCTCACAATCACACCATAGTCTCTGACACTATGGACCGGAAAGTACAACAACGCGTTTGCGATGCTGTCGAGTTTATTTCGCATCATTCTCATATAGTCTATGCGTTGAAGTTTGAAATTGGGACCGCTGTCACATCATAACATCAGGCAGCACTCCGTATTCCACCTTCGGCACGGTGCCCTGTAATGCGACACCCATAACCGGCCGCGGCGCCTCTCCCGCGTACACCAGCACACGCACCGCGGCCACCTAACCACATTTCCGGTTAGATATACAGATATATGCTGTATGCAGACATAGGAACGCTAACACGCGCTCGTACCGCTCTATGTGACCTTCACTCAGCACACCAGAATTGATCGGGTGCTTCGGACATGCTCGATGATATCTGCTATCGCATGTTGCAAACTCGGCCGGTATCCCGCGTAAGCGAACTACCGGCATCGAGGGAGTCTCGGTGCCTATCGCATGCACACCAGCGCACACGCCGCAGTCGCACAAGTAACCGGTTGCGTCTGTCTCCGGACTCTCTTCCCGAACAAGCCCAACAGCAGTCAACAACGTCGATACAGCATGCCCACACCCGCCCGCCAACTTCACATTTGGCACGTGAATCCTTACGGCCTCGGCCCCCGTGTGCCTTCTACAGTAACGACATTTGTCGTTGTGTCCACTAACTGCTGTCTGTGAAAGCCAGCTCTCGCTGTGATGCTGCTGGGATAACACGCAACATCACAGCAGTCAGTCGCACGTACCAAGCGAAGTCGATGTTCCGCTAGTCTCGACGTAGCGACTCCTCCCGCCCAGCGGTAGTGGTCTCCGCCCCGTCGGAAAAGACGACAACACTAGCTCCCGGAACAGAATGTCCTAAACCAGCAGCTGGCAGTGTTGTCCAATCGTACGTCTAGCAGTGCCTGTGCTCCAGCACTGCTGATGCTTCAACGTGATCGGGCGCAAACGGGATGTCCAGCGAGCAGCTGCCTTATCTCGGCGCGCATGCCTCCTCTCCTGCAAGCACGCAGACATACTCTTTGCCATATAATATAAATGCCCACTATCAACTCCGATAAACACCAATTTCAGACTCCTCCCCCCTTTGGTAGGATCCATCTGAAATATTCGCTTTATCGTTGCCTTGGAATATCTTCAATGAAGCGGGGGCCCGAAGCGCCCAAAACCTTGTATGCATACGTGTAAGCTTTTTTGCCGTGTAGAGGGCTAATAGTTTTGTCTTGGGGGGACAAAGAAAGGTGGTCATGTTTGAAGACAAGCTGGAGCTACTACTAGAACACAAAATTAACACTTCGTTTGATCTACATTAGTTCAGCTCACCATTTTGTGCGCACTAAGAGGAACGCATGCCTACTTTCGCACTCTGAAACCCTCGTTAAAGGAGGATTGAGACTCGAAATCCTGCTCGCAGCCGTCGTGCAGAATCTTGGTGGTATGTTTGGCGAGTTGACGATTGAACCGGCCGACGAGAGTATTGATGTTCTTTACAAACAAACATCGAAATGAACGGGGATTTGAAGCCGTTTGGTTACCTGACTTCCACGCGGTAGCCTTACACACATGTGCTTGGGGATTTCCAAAATCGACGTTTGGTCGAACGCCTAGAGCATCCAAACATCGTTACGAGAAATCATTTCGGCATGCTACCCATGGTTCGTTCGAGTTAGCAGTTTTGATCTGCGTAAGCAATAGTAGTCTATGGCCGGTGGTATTTGCGCGCGAAAAATTTCGTGCGCAAAAACAAAAATGTACCATGCCTCTCATGTTGGCTCTTCATGCTTCCCAGGTAGGTATTGTTCTCCGCTCTTTTTCTCTACCTTCTACCACAATCGACCTGCGCTTTCAAAAGTCTTTCGATGTGATCTCTGCTTCGATGCTTCTGTGCATCGTGCACGCGTGTTTTTGGTCTTTGGTAGACGGCCGAATGTATTCGCTACAGTAGCTGCTTAACTGATCAACACGTTACACCGTGCTTTTGTGCGCACACAACTTAACTCTCACCCCCTCCTGTGTGCCCCCGGCTGGTACGTCTACATAGTTGTACAGAGAGCACCCGCCGACGCGTGTAGTACATCGAAAGGTGTCGCAAAATGCATACGCCGAAGTAGAATGTGCACCGAAAAGTTGACGGCAGACGCCAGAATAGATGGGGACGAAAGCACACAACACACAGCATTACCCAAGCTATGTACGCCCCCCTATTCTCGGTCTCATGATTCCGTCAACGACGACCTCCGGGTGACGGCTTTTGTCTCTACAAGGCGGCCTCCACTCCATGCCCTTCCGTGCTAGGGTAGCCAGTTCTACGTAGTTCTACTTCTGAGAGCAACACGTGAACACATGACCTGTTTGTTTATTAACCGTTGTTCCAGAATATATCTATCATGGGCCGTGCACTGGCGCGTTACTACTGTTGTGCCAACGGTTAACCGATACCTTAGAAAGGTTGCCATGCGTGCTCTCAGAAGCAGATAAAACCAACAGAATGCCCGTGGGTTTAATCACCTTTCCCACCCATCATGTCCTCGTCCTTTTGCCCCCATCGTCAGAGTGCATCTTTGAGGAACTCTTTGAGGCACTCATCCCCCAGTGCGGAGACAACTTGGTAGACATCAGTGACTGCAACGGGGCTGCGGGGCTTGCCTCCTCGTGGGGTGTGTCTACCGTCCTCGGATTTACCACCGTGGCTGGTCTCCTGGTCGCCACCTTCGGCTTCGTCGTGTAGCCGATTATTTCAAGATATTTGGTGGATCGCTATTCACTTTGTGCTGCTACTGAAGAGGCATGCGGTGCCGTTAAAACATGTGCTGCAACCGCACGTCGTGATCGATGGTGCTCGTGCAGCTTGGTTCTTTACGGGATTGGCAGGGAGGTATTGCCATGTACCACTCTGTATGATGTTGCCGCGGTTCGAGCTGCCTTTGTCATGCGTTGGTAGGCCTTTTTTTGCTGGGCGTAGATTATTTTCTCGCGGCTTGGTCTGGCTCGCTCGTTGCCCGTACGGTAGTTTGCACCCGAAGATCAATGCCTGAGGGTAGGGGCTGGCAGGCGCCATCCTTTCATTCTGTTGGTTCTGATGTCGGGGGCAATCACATACTCTTGGTGTTACCTTCCCGCCGACTGGCAGCATGGAGTGGCCTGTTTCATGCCGATGTGGGTGATGCTACATCGTTTAGCTAGCTTTTGTTTCCCTGGTCACCTAGACTATTCAGTCAAATTCAGTATACATTTTTCGTGCACTATAGTCCACCCGGGCTATTTTCATTGGGGTCTCATACTTTGTATTTCTTGTCGTATTCGAAATGGAAGGGAGAGGGAGGATCAAACAGCTAGGAGTGTTGAGCAAATTTGTCGTGCTTGCAGAACGAGCCCAGATCCTCCAGTCAGAGAGGAAGAGAGCATAGTTCAAACAGCCGTGATGTGTCCGACGATTTGTCGCCGGCACGACGACTTGTAGCGCTCACCCAAAAAGCACCGATCCCTCTCTCGTTTGCCAAACCTGCCTTTCACAAGTCAGAGAAGGAAAGAGGATAGTTCAAACAGCCATGATTGATGTGTCCGACGCTTTGTCGCGCGAGCAAGTAGCACCGTCCTCTAATTGCTCTCGAAACCAACATTTTTCAGTTGGGGAGAGTATGGAAGCAAAATTCGGGCAGCCATGATGTTTCGGAGCATTTGTCGCGCGCGCAAGAAGCACCGATCCTGCTCTCGTTCTTCAAAACAGCTTTCATCGATCAGGAACAGGGAGAGAAAGTTCCGAAAGCTATGGTGTGTCCCACTTGTGGTCGCGCGCGCAGGAAACAACGATCTCTCTCTCTCTCCACACATCAGCGATTTTCAAATCCAGGAGAGGCCGAGAGCAAAGTTCGAATAGCCATGATGTGTCAAACGATTTGTGCTGCTCGCAACAAGCACCGATCGTGCCCTTGTTCCGCAAACAAGCATTTTTCTATGCGAGGAGGGGCAAAGAGCAATGTGAGAGCATCCAGGTGTGTTCCGACGTTTGGTCGCGCACTCAAGAAGCACCGATCCCTCTCTAGTTCTTCAAACCGGCCGTTCAAAAGTCAGAGAGGGAGAGAGCAAGCTTCGAACACCATGCGCGAGAGCACCGATCCTCCGTTCGTTCCACAAACCAGCAACTTTCAAATCTGCGACAGGCAGAAACCAAAGTTGAAGTTTTCCGTATGTGTCAAACGGTTTGTCGCGCACGCGAGGAGAACCGATCCTGCTCTCGTTCTCCCAACAGGAAGGTTTGTTCGTCGAAGCAGATAGAATAAACTGGTGTTTATTTTGTAACAGTCGAATTAGAATTTGGCTTCATTTTCTACCGGAAACCCAGGGTCACGGTGTTTGGAATTATTAGTCTATAGTTGGGGGTGTCATTCCGTGATCGAGTCCACGCAGGGGCTGTAGCAAAGTCGGGTAACGTGTGACAGCTACAGAGCGCGTGAAGCAACGGAAGGACAGCAGCAGCCGCCTAACGCAGTAGCGGCGGCAGTTTAGAAAAGGGCGGGACGGGACACGGCGCAAGCATTGGGGAAGTGACCAGCACGCGACTCTCCATATAAAGGTGTGTACTCGTGTCCAACATCCATCGTGTCGGCCGTGTTCCTATTCGCGTCCCGCTACTCTTGTGACCTCACCGCTGCGTGCATTTAGCACGAGGGGGGAGGGTGCAGTAAGATAAGCGGCGGCAAGCCAACGCAGTCTCGCTCGCCGCGCCGCTCAGATAGGTCCCTTCCCAAACATGGGATGCGGTTCATCCCAACCGAGACGTACTCTCGCTGAAGAAAAAAAAATGCGGTTCGTCCCAACCAGACGTACTCTCTCTGAAGAAAAAATTCAACGGCAAAAAGAAAGAGCGGGGCCTGTTGTATGGTCGCACGCTGACTTGTCGCGGTTGATAGCAGCCATTGTACTGCACGGGGTGGAGGAACCCTGCGGCATCGGACATAACCAATCGACCCGCGGCAGTAGGGCATGATGCTGTCACGATTATGCACATGAGGCAGGTGCCTTGTTTTCTGTTTCCCCCGGCTTACTAGGGACTACTTGCCGGTACAATCTTGTCTGTGCCGCGCACAGAGGGGCATATAGCTGAAGGAATCGACGATAATATGCCCACTCACGTAAGCAATCGTCTCCACGGATGGTATTGACAAGTCCCCACTGATGGTATCGACAAGTCCCATGGCATACAAAGCGGCCGCATACGTAATCGGAAAGTGCATTCAACAGCATTCACGGGAACGGATAAAAGCAAAAACACATGCATGCGAGAGAAAGACTCAAAGAAAAAGACTGAAAAACAATGAAGACGAGAAAAAAAAAACGAGACAGCGAACTACGTGCTGTATGCATAAGGAAAAAGAAGATGAGAAAAAAATAGGGGGGGGAGGTGGATGTGACACGCGAGGTTCGAACTCGCGAGGAACGTCAGGCAGCGGTCCATGTGAGTGCATCACGGTCTCGAGGGGCATCACGTCAAATTTATTGCCGCCGTGACACAAACCTTCTATAAGAATACGTCACGTCCATCGACGATTAAGCGACCAAAAACGCCCGGACAGCAATTGATGCATGCCAAAAACTCGTCAACCTGCCGTAGGATTGTCTATGCGGAAGTGATCTCAATGAAAATAAAAAAAAAACAAGGACACGCACCAGCACGGGACGCGCCAATAGTGGAAGCACTCGTCCGTGCTGTTGGCGAGTGGAAGTTAACCGATCTCAACGCAACGAAACACGAAGTCATACATGTATCAGCACGGGATGCGCCAATGAGTGGAAGCACCCGCGCTGTTGGCGAGTAGAGTTAACCGAATTCAACGCAGCGGTAGAAAAATACCACAAATCATGCATCAGTACGGGACGCGCCAATGAGTGGAAGCACCCGTGCTGCATATGTGATGTCAGCCTCAGCACGGGACGCGCCAATGAGTGGAAGCACTCGTGCGGTTGGTGAGTAGAGTTAACCGATCTCAAAAAGAAAGAACAAAACGCCGTACATGTATCAGCACGGGACGCGCCAATGAGTGGAAGCACCCGCGCTGTTGGCGAGTAGAGTTAACCGAATTCAACGCAGCGGTAGAAAAATACCACAAATCATGCATCAGTACGGGACGCGCCAATGAGTGGAAGCACCCGTGCTGTATATGTGATGTCAGCCTCAGCACGGGACGCGCCAACGAGTGGAAGCACTCGTGCTGTTGGCGAGTAGAGTTAACCGATCTCAAAAAGAAAGAACAAAACGCCGTACACGTATTAGCACGGGACGCGCCAATGAGTGGACGCACCCGTGCTGTTGGCGAGTAGAGTTAACCGAATTCAACGCATCGAAAACGAAGTCGTACACGTATCAGTACGGGACGCGCCAATGAGTGGAAGCACCCGTGCTGCATATGTGTTGTCAGTTTCAGCAAGGGACGCGCCAATGAGTGCTGTTGGCGAGTAGAGTTAACCGATCTCAAAAAGAAAGAACAAAAACGCCGTACACGTATCAGTACGGGACGCGCCAATGAGTGGGCGCACCCGTGCTGTTGGGCGAGTAGAATTAACCGATCTCCACGCATCGAAAACGAAGTCATACACGTATCAGTACGGGACGCGCCAATGAGTGGAAGCACCCGTGCTCATATGTGTTGTCAGTTTCAGCAAGGGACGCGCCAATGAGTGGAAGCACCCGCGCTGCATACAAGTATCATCAGTGCGGGTCGCGCCAATGAGTGGAAGCACCCGTGCTGCATATGTGTTGTCAGTTTCAGCGAGGGACGCGCCAATGAGTGGAAGCACCCGCGCTGTTGGCAAGTGGAGTTCACCGTATCCAACGCATCGAAAAAAAAAAAACACGTATCAGCACGGGACGCGCCAATGAGTGGAAGCACCCGTGCCGATGGCGAACCGGGGTTCACCGAATCCAAGAAAATATATATATAAAAAAAAAAAAAAAAGAGAAACCATCGCTAGTGTTCCAAAGAGAGAAATATTCGGGATTGGTCGACGTCCGGTGACCGTAGCGTCAGCAGCAATAATCACTCCATTCAATCCACAGGCGTCGAGAATGAACTAACGCGAGCTCGCGATATAACAACGCGTCGTTCTGGGCCCGACGAAAACCCACGTCAGATAGTTTCGCCCGAAGATAGGATTTGTAGACCATTCTAACTGCAGATCCAGGCGCGCGATCGACTACGCCCACGATGAAGAGGAAAAGAAGTGTTCCCGCAACGCCGCCCTGACGCTCGCCCGCCGCCTGCCGCCGGTCCGCTG